TATTAAAGTTTTTCTTCATTACCCATTCAAGCCGTCTCCAACCATTATTATTCTCAAAGTGGTTCCTCGTCATCGAATTTGAAATTAAAATACCTATCTATCTGTGTGTATTTGTTTATCCATGCATTTATCTATCTGTCTATTTGCGAAACCATACGTTCATCCACTTCCTATCTTTACGACTATGGCCCGGCATGGCCAGGTGGTTAGGAAGCTCGACTCGCAATCTGCGGGTCGCGGGTTCGAATTCCCGTCCCACCAAACATGCTCACCCTTTCAGCCGTGGTGGCGTTATTATGTTACGGTCAATTCCACTATTCGTTGGTAAAAGAATAGCCTAAGAGTTGGTGGTGTGGTGATAACTAGCTGCCTTCCCTCTAGTCTTACACTGCTAAATTAGGGACGGCTAGCGCAGATAGCCCTCGTATAGCCATGCGCGAGATTAAAAACAAACAAACTTTCTGACTATTCGTCAATCTATCTTACTTCTGTTATCATCCGAATCAACGCTATCTAAATGGACCAGAGCTAAATGAATATGTTTCAAACAATTGTTAAATTCTACGTTACACACCGTTGAAAGTACATCAAACAAAACTTTTCTATAATTTTTGTACAACATTCTGCCAAACATTAATTATATTCAGATTTTGAAATCGCACTATTTGTAAAACAAGTGTGATATTCACAAGTTAGTTTATTTGTCTGGAAGTTTGTAGCTTTTGGCAAACTCCTTTAAATTATCATTTTTGTACATATTTCTTATAACTTTATAATATTCGAGCGCCGTTTCTGTCCTTTGAAACCTTCTCAGACGGCGTGTCAACACCAGACTCTACCCAAGGCCATTCACTAACCAAAATTGTTCACACTTTATTTGGAGTTCCAACGCTATAGAAATAACTTAAAAAAATCAGAACTGAATAACTTTAACAGTCAGTTATACATCATTCTGTAACTTTTTGCACATTGTTCGTTATCCTAGTATTTCTATTTTCTTTCGATATTTGTCGTGTATATATATCTATATAGTTTCATAATGGAAAATAAGTTCTTGAGTTCTGAAACAAGATCAAAACTATATATCTTGCTTCTGAATTGTTTGTTAAAATAATAATCAGAAAAGAAGGGACTACAGGGGTATGTTTTGAGTTTTCCATTTAATTAGACTCAATGTCAATAGAAAAAGGAATTTTTGGAAACGTTTATATGACTTTAGCCTTAAAACTTATTGTTATGATTAATTATACACTAGATTGAGCGAAACGTGTCGTCAGCGATGAATACAGCGAATATAGTGAGGTTGAAATAATATTATTATAAACTCTTCTAATTCTTGAAAATCCCTAAGCTTGTAAAAGGCGTTCATACCATAACAATTGTTGTTATAATAAATGGCTTATCACTGAGCACGGTAGTGCGTAAGGATGGACCGAGAAAAAAATGGCTGCCGCATTCAATCTATTTCTCTATGATGCCAACAAGTCATTGCTAAATTTGAGTTATAGCCTTATTTGTGCACCTAATTGCCATTATCGAGTGTTTCACAGCTTATGAGATTCCAAATATCAGTGAAAAGTGTTGCTAAAGTGGAGAACTGGGAACTAACTAAAAAGCCAAAGTGTTCATCCTACATTTTTCTTCTCCAACGCAAGCCAAAAAATGTGTGAAGTTTCCTCAATGGCTTTAGTACGACAGAAAAACATATTAGGAGTATCTGGGAACAGGCTATCACTAAAAAAAATCATAATTCTACTGTAAACGATGTTATCATTACCCCTTGAAGTTAGCTTTTGTACTAAAAATAGTGTTCCTTTAAAAAGTTTAAGTACAGGATGAAACAGGAATTACCAGCCAATAATAGATGAAGATTAGATGAATGTAGCATGCAGAATATTCAATGATTTGAACATCATACAATTGGGGCCTTTAGGGAGCCAATCCCTATATTATGTAT